GAGTCGGACAGCGCGCGCGGGATGAAATTTGGACATTTTTTTTTGAAAAACCATTGGGTTTTTGATGTTTTTATGTTGAAATCGTTACGAAACCTAAGGTTCTGGAAGGATTTCGTCTTGCGCGCGCGAATGTCCACTTTACCTTATTTTTTGCAAGGGATTATTGAAATTTGATTATGTTAGAACAAGAAAAAGTAGCTCGCGCGAGCTCATGTAACATAAATGTTGAAAAACCATTGGTTTTGTGGGATTCGGACAGCGCGCGCGGAAGGACATTTTGACAATTTTTTCTTAAAAAACCATTGGGTTTTTGATGTTTTTATGTTAAAATCGTTACGAAACCTAAGGTTTTGGAAGGATTTCGTCTTGCGCGCACGAATGTCCACTTTACCTTATTTTTTGCAAGGGATTCTTGCAATTTGATCAAGTAAGAACAAGAATTTTCATTTTATAGTGTTTTTTGCAAGGGAAAACGAGCGTCAACAAAAAACCGGATCCGGTACCAATCGTTTTGCCTGAGACTTCCTCACGAAAATGATGAAAATGTGGCTGCGGCCTAGGCGCGGCGGGGGGGTCGCGCACCAGGGGTCCCAACAATAATTATTCTTAAGAAGAAATAATGTTCAACAAACAACAATTACTAGCACGTGGGGACACTCCGTTCTCACCAGTGCCAGGGTTTTCATAGGAGGCGGGCAATACCCCCACTTTGTGGGGGGGCCGGTTCAAGCTCTACCAAATTTCCAAACGACTCTTCGCCACCACCCACACCCAGCTTCCCGCCCTATGACGTTCGGACACTTCACTTCGTGGCATGCGGACGACCGTGGCTACTATTCAGGGCCCCGCGGCCGACGACGACGGCGTGCGCGCGCGAAGAAAAAACGAATGTGTCCCGCATGGTATTATTTGACAGGGATGATGGCCCTGGCAGGTGCGCAACCGGTGTTGCAGAAGTTCGAAAAAGTTGCTCGCAAAAGCCCGTTTGACAGAAATGTTTAAAAAGTGTTGGGTTCCCTACGAATCCGCAAGAGCGCGCGGGATGAAATTTTGACATTTTTTTTTTAAAACAAAACTTTGTTTTTTTTGATGTTTTTATATTAAAATCGCTACGAAAACTAAGGTTGTGGAAGGATTTCGTCTTGCGCGCGCGAATGTCCACTTTACCGTATTTGTTGCAAGGGATTCTTGAAGTTTGGTTATGTTAGAACAAGAAATGTCCACTTTGGCTTGTTTTTTGCAAGGGAAAGCGGGCCGTAACAAAACAACCGGATCCGGACCAACCCGTTTTGCCTGAGACTTCCTCACGAAAATGATGAAAATGTGGCTGCGGCCTAGGCGCGGCGGGGGGGCCGCGCACCAGGGGCCCAAAAAAAAATATTCTTTAGAAGTAATAACGTTCAACAACAATAACCAAACACCAAGCACCAACAACACCAACACCAACAACAACAACAACAACAACAACAGCAGCAGCAGCACCAACAACGCACCAAGCAGAATTCTCACCATGAATTTGTCTTATTCAGCCACGTACCTAGCACCAACAACAATATCCAAACATAAGCACCAACAACACCAACAACAGCAGCAACAACAACAACGCACCAAGCAGAATTCTGACCACGAATTTGTCCTATTCAGCCACGCACCTAGGGACAATGAGTGACCGTTCGGCCCCCTCACTCTGATACATATATCGAAACCAATTACCCTAGCCAGCCCAACCAGCCAACCCAACCAACCAGTCACCCAAACAACTCAACCGGCTCAACCAGCCCAACCAGCCACCCCGCAACCCCAGCCAACCCGCCACCCCGCCAACCCGCCCACCCCCGCCGTTTGCCTTCCGTCACCGTCGAGAGGGGGGGGGAAGTGTTTCTTACAAGCGACAACCACAAAAATCACCCTCCCGGGGTCCGGCGGGACAGCGGGGGGAGGGGAAATCGCGCCGTACTATGCGGGAGCGGGATTCGCGCCCCAGGTGCCCAAAGACGATTTGGGGCCTCAAATGCGACACTGTCGTCACTTTATTACCTTTCACCGCGCTCCCCTTCTCAACGGAAAGGCTCCCATCCGTGAAACCGTCGTCATTTTTCAGCCCCCGCGAGAGGCTTCTTAGAGGCCCCCAGAGGCTCCAGGAGGGCCCATGGCGGCCTCGGGAGTGCCTAGGAGACCTCCGGAGGGCCCCAGGAGGACCCACTCTGCACCGCGCCCCCCTTCTCAACGGAAAGGCCCCCATGCGTGGAATTGTTTTCATCAGGCCGCCCCCGCGAGAGAGTTCTTAGAGGGCCCACGGAGGCTCCAGGAGGGCCCATGGCGGCCTAGGGAGAGCCCACGAGATCTCAAGAGCCCCCCCGAGGACCCACTTTGAATTACGCTCAGGAAGCTCCAGAGGGCCCAGGAGGCTCCAAGAGGCCCCAACAGGCCCCGAAGACCCCAAACAGGCCACAGGACCCCCAGCACGCTCTAGGAGAGCCACGGCGACACCAAGAGGCTCCAGGACGGGCGTCATTCCCTCTCCTCCTGCTCGTCGTCGTCATCCTTCTCATAATCCGTCCTGCTTCAAATCCTTCCTCCCCCTTTTCCTCCTCCTTCTCCTCCTCTTTCTCCTCTTCCTCCGCCTCCTCCTCTTCCTCCTCCTCCTCCTCCTCCTCCTACCTCATCCGTAGCCTCGATGGCTCCGATAGCGCCGTGCGCGAGATCCGCCTCCTCCCCATCCGTCCTCCTCCCTCCTCCCTCCTCCTTCCCTCCTCCCTCCTCCCTCCTCCCCTCTCTCGGGAGCGTCACAAAGAGGCCCTCCGAGGATAATTTCACGACAAGGGCGCCGACCCGATGCACAGACACCACGTCGGGGCTCTGGGAACGGAGTCGAAGACGAAACCTCGAATAATCTAGTCTTCGATGTTCGGGGCATGTTTTTGAACACCTGCGAACCTTGTGGAAACTTCCGAGAGCCTCGGGGGTGGATGTCTGGCGCAATAACACGAGTGGAGGAGGAGACAACACGACGCTTGGTTTCTACCCCCGCGAGGGGCGTTACACAGTGTGTATATATATATATATATATATATATATATATATATATATATATCGTGCGGTGCTGCGGGGCCCCATGCGTACAACATGTGTATCTATGCACACCATGGATACACATATGGATGTCTGATTATACGGATTGGTTGTCTGATCATCGCCGCAGTAATCGACTGCTGCGAGTGGGCCCGCCCTGTAGGTCGCTCGGGGCAATTGTGAAACCGTCCGGAGAGTCTGTTATGTCGTATTGAGTCCCGGGGCCTTCTTTTGTTGTTACGTGCCCTCGTGCCCCCCTGGGCCGTCTCGGGGGTCTTGTAGGACAGCCCGGGGGCCCTAGTGGACCGCAGAAGGGGCTCTCGTTGACTTCGGGGCCCCCCTGGAACCGCACGGGGTGTCTGCGGCGCCTTGTGATTCACGTTGGGCCCCTCAGACAGTGGAAGCCCATGCCAAGGAACACCCTGCTTGCCTCCAGGGTGCCGTGGGCTTCTTGGGTTTCGATGGTTTTGCGATGGAAAGCGTGACGTCCCTACACTAAACATCCATGGGCGTCCTGGAATCTCAGGGTTGGGTTTCTTGTTGAAGGTTTCTTGCGGACTGGCCTCCGCTGTGGGGGTTTTGCGCATCCTGGGCCCCTCTGAGAGCCTAGGAGGCCTTGGGAGGATCTAGGCCCTAGGCGGCCTGTGAGGCGGTCGTGGACGCCCTCAAGATCAAGAAACCGCGCGTTCGAAAATCAGCCGGCCCTGTCGGCGTGTGTGCGATGCGATGTTTTTCCGATTGAATCGTCGTCGCCCTCGCCGCTTCTCTCTTTTCCGTTTGAGTCGTCGTCGTCGCCGTCACCTCTGTCCTTTTTACTCTGGGCCCTCCTCCTCCAGTGATCCAGTCAGACGGAATGTGTAATTCTGTCGAAGGGAAGCACCTTTCTTTTGATCCCTTCCCCGCAGGGGGGGAGGGGGGTCCGGGGGGCCGCAGAGTGCAATTGTCCCGCTTAGACCACTGCCCTGATAGCTTTTCTGAATCCTCTTCCTCGAAGATGTTTTGCTATCTACTCTCTCTCTCTCTCTGTCTCTTCCTTGACGATGTCGGTGACAATGGGCAGTGGGGAGCGCGTCGCTGGACACGCGATGACACGGCACAGGAACTCGTGTTCTCAGCGGGCCAGCTCGCTGTGCTGAGGTTCAAACCGCAAGTCAGTTGCCTAGCAACCTCGAGCTGCTATACAAAGGCTCGAGCCATAATGGTCATGGACGGAACCATTCTGAAAGATATGACAGGGCCTCTTCGGGCCTTCTCGGGTCAGACCTATTCGGGTCTTTCTTGAAAGAACGGAGAGACGATAAGCTCGGCTAGGCTGAAGCTGTAAAGGCCGAAAGGGAACCATATCCGCCAGGAAACGCACACTAAAGTAAACATTGAATGGCCTACGAATGCTTTTCTTTGAGACAACTAGGCTCCCTTGGAGCCGCTCGCACGCTAGGCCTCGACGGGCCATCTGTCGTAAGTAGGCACAAAGAGGCACGCTCTGGACAGTGAATTACATACCAAAAAGTTAAATTTCGATGTTACGGCATCGAAGCTTGGCCTGGTTTCTCAGTTTCGGTGAAGGTACAGAGCGCGTGTTACGCATCACCTGGCCCCACAGGGCCTCATGTCCGGCAGTAGGCCTCTGCCTCCGGTCCTCGTCCCGCGAAAAGCACACCAGGGCCTCCAGGTGCTCCTCGCTCTTTGGTAAAGGCGCGCCGTGGTCCAGCTTGTCGATGCCCTCCGACTTCCGGCGCCTGGCACTGCGATGTAGTGGATCGTCCACGAGCCGCCAGCGCTGACCGCTTTTGGAGAACTTCAGCAGGGCCTTGGCGGCTTTGTCCTTTCTGAGGCCGTCGGCTAGTATGGCGCCGCTGTGAACCCAGCGTATCTGGAGCCCCGTCTATTGTTTCTGCTGCTTGATGCCCAGACACTCGATGCTGGTCCTCTTGTCTCGTAGGCCCAGTCCAGCAGACTCGCTCTTCTCGATGACGTCGTACCCAGACTTCCCGTCTGTGACCAGGACTCCAGGACAGGTTGCGATGGCATCGTTCACGGCCCGCTTGTTGGTGTAGTCCACGTGGCCGCACTCTAGCTGGTAGATGAACAGTCGTACGTAGCTGATCTCGTCGAGCGTTTCCATCATCATCTGCACCTCGGCACTCGCACTGCTTCTGGCAACTCGTGGTAGCTTGCATGACCTCCAGGAAATCGGCGCCACCGTCTCGGTAGAGCCCTCCAGGAAAGATAGCGGTGCCAGCACGATCATTTCGCCTCCTTGAGACTCTCCTGTGATCCGGGCGGCCCAGGCGGCGTTGCCCCAGCCAACAAGTGCCAGCTTCTCGATCGCAGGTATGACCATGATGACGTCAGCAGCGTCGTTCGTGGTGCGGGTGAGCTCGTTGATATTCTGCATCGTGGAGACTGTCGCGGTTGGAATCTCGGCTTGTAGTAGTGACGCTTCGGCGCTGCGCCCTCCAGCCTACGGCGCCCAGACGTCCGCGTAGATCAGATCGCTCTAGATCGGAAACTCCATCTGTAGGCTTCTTGCCGCGCTTGACAGGGATCGGCTCCACGTTCCTGCAGGAGGTGTCCTGGGCGAGGCTGCGCGTGAAATCGTCGTTCTGGCGGATGCTGACTCCACGTTGAACGAAGGCCTTGCTCTCCCAGGGTGTCCATTCGAAAGCTCGTTGAATCTCGCTCCGCTTCTGCAGGGGGAACTTGCTGGTGGGGCCTCCGGCGATCATCATGTCGTCTACATGTACAATGACCATGCCGATCAGCTTGCCGCCGTCGCCCCTGATGACCCAGACGCAGGGCTCGCACTGGATGGCCTCAAGCTTGAGTTTGTTGAGCGTCTCCTTGAAGCGTGGCCACCACCTCCGAGGTGCGTGTGCGAATCCGTACATCGGCTTGAGGAACTGCAGCACTTCGTCCTCCTTCATGCCGAAAGCTTGGCGAACGTCCTTGAGCAGTCGGCGTAGATGTCCCGCTTCTCCTCGTCAGTCTCGCCTTGAAGGAATGCCGTCACTGCGTCGGCCTTCTCCAGTAGCCACTGGTGCCGGGCGGCCATAGCTAGTAGATATCGGCGAGCGCGTCGAGAAGCAACTGGTGATTCTGTACGTAGATGTAGTGGAACGGGATCGCTGAAGTCGAGTACCACAAGTTGAGCTTTCCCTGATAGCACATTTCCTCGTTCGTCCTTCTTCCATGTGAGCATCAAACGACAGCATAGAAGACGCGCTGGATCTGTGCCTTTGCGGCTGAGGAGCCTTACGGCCTTGGTGCTGAGAGATGAGGTGCGCTCCTTCTGCTGGGCCTCAAGTAGCATCTTCTCCTCTTCTGGCGCTGCCTTCTTGAATGATACCTCCAGTCGGCCCTTGCGAGCCTGCGAAGCCACGAAGCAACTCGGGTCCTCGAAGTAGTTCATGAAGGCGTGCTCGTTGTTATCTGGAATCTCCAACGCGATCAGCTCGCCCCCCTCCGTGGTCTCGTCGTACTGCTGGGCGCTACAGGCGCAATCGCTGTAGAAGTTACCCTCCTGCAAGTAGCGGGCGAAGTCCTCCTGAACTGCAGCGCTGATCCTGGGCTTCTTGACGAGGGGCTCTGTCATCTCGTCGTGGTCTGAGGTCCGCTTCTGAGGTAGGTCTGGTCGTTGATCTTCTTCCCTTTCAGGATCCACCGCAAGTTCGCCAGCTTCTCAGCCGTCCGGGAAGTGCTCCTGCGAGGCATGATCCTCCGCGTCGTCGTCCTTCGGGTCGATCTGAACAGCTTCTTCTTCTTCGGCTTCAGCGGGCTCTTCAGCTTCTTCTGCAAGTGGTCTTTCAGCAGGTACTTCGAGTCCAGGTGGTGGCTCGCGCGGCACATCTTGCACGAGTGGTTCTTGCCCCCCCCCCCCAGCGCGCAAGGATTCTGCTTTCGCCGCGACCGTCTAGTAGGTGCTGTCGGTGGTGATGCTGGTCTTGAAGCTGATGATGATGCTGCCCCCCTCCGCCTCCAGGTGCGCAGCTCTGAGGTACTCCTTGAAATGGTAGAGGCCCGCCTTCATCTTCCTCAACTGCCCAGGGTCCGCTTGGGATGTGCTCGAAAGTTCGAGCGCCTGTAGATTCCCCGTCGTCGTTGGCGAGGTCGTCACTTGTAGGTGGCGGCTCGTTGGTGAGGTCGATCACTTCGTTGGTGTCGAGCTGCCTCTGTACCTCCCCGAACGCCTAGGCGCCTGGCTGCTCGCTCTGGGATCGGAGCGCGCGCGTCCATAGCTCCTTCAGAAGGTGTAGCTGGTTGTAGCTGTTCGGGTGCAACGCGAAAGAGCCGCCCTGCCAGGGCGATGTTCACGGCTGCGCCAGGTAGACCAGGTCGGTGTCCAGAGCTAGCGGGTTCGCGACCAAGGCTTCGTCCAGGTCCGCACCAGCGCCCTCGCCCGGGCATCGATCGCGGTTGCCCCTTCTTCTTCCAGGCCCCAGCTGGGAGCCCCTGGTAGACGAAGACTAAGCCGCCGCAGTTGTATTTCTTGAAGGACCTGAATTTCGCCGCCTCTACCCTTTTGACTCTATCGGAGATCTCGGTCCGGATGCGGGCCAGTCGGGATAGTCGACGTATTTGAGTCTTTCAGCTCCACTTGGGGGTGGCGTCAACGGGGGGGGCGAAAATTGAGCGCGCTTGCTGGTGAGAGGTCGTCTTTTTGTTTCTCGGAAGGCGGCCTGCGCACGTGAAGTTTTCCCCATGAGTTTCGCCCGTGCGGCAGTTTGAAAACGCCTCGATGTCGCTCTGGATTGGCTTTGCGTGTGACTCAAGCGGTTGGGGCCTGGGTGCATGTTTGTCGGCGTTTCTTATTCTACGTCTGGACACGCCATTGCAATTGTGCGCTTTGGAACGAGACCAGCGGGATCAATCTCTTCTTTGCTCTGGGTCAAGGGGCAGAGGTTTTCGGAATGCCCGAGTTTGGAAGCGGTTCTGGGGGCCATCCCCCGATCTGTTTTTCGCCAGCGTCGCCTCTCTCAACCATCTTGTGGTGTTAGGTCCTCGTTTCGAAGAGAGTGCCCCGCGTTCCTTCCTCCTCACCTCCTCGCCCCCTTTTCCCTCCTCCCTTTTCCACCATGCGTCTCCCGCACACAGGACAACGTTTCGTGGCTCTGTATGGGGTCTCCGCCGAAGGCCCCCGTGGCTGCACTCGGATGCGGCTCCCCCACCCAGGACTGCGCTTCGTGGCGCCATTGGGGTTGCTACCAAGAGCCCCAGCGGCTGCAGTAGCATGGGGTTCCCCCACTCAGGCCGGCGCTTCGTAGCCCGAGAAGGAGCTCCACCTATAGCCCGAGCGGCCACACCCGCATGCGATCCCCTCCTCCCAGGATCGCATGTCGTGGCCCCGTCGGGAGCTCCTTCGAAGGCCTTGGTGGCTGCATTCGCAGGCGCGTCCCCGCTCACGACCGCACTTCGTGCCCCATGGGGGGCCCCACCAAAGGCCTTGGTGGCTGCATTCGCATGCGGCTCCACCACCCAGGACAGTGCTACGTGGCCCCATAAGTGGGCTTCACCGAAGGCTCCGGTGGCTGCACTAGCATGCGAACTTCGACCCAAGACAGCGCTTCGTGGCCCCATGGGGAGCCCCGCAGAAGGCCCCTAGAGCTGCAGTCGCATGCGGTTCCAGCACTCACGCCAACGCTTCGTGGTCTCATCGGAAGTTCCGCCGAAGGCCCATGTGGCCGGACATGCACGCGGCTCCCTCCGCCCAGGACAGCGTTTCGTGGCCCCGTCGGGAGCTCCGACGAGGCCCCAGTGGCTGCACTCGCATGCGGTTCTTTCCGCCCAGGATCGCGTTTCTCGGCTCAATCGGAAACTCCATCGAAGACCAAGTGGCTGCACTCGCATGTGGTCCCCCCACCCAGGACCAAGTTTTTCGGCTCAAGCGGGGATTCCACCGCAGGCCCTGGTGGCTGCACTCGGATGCGGTCCCCCCCCACCCAAAACAGCGTTTCGTAGCCCCGTAGGGGGCTCCACCCAAGGCCTCAATGGCTGGCGGTTCCCCTGCCCAGGGCAGCGTTTCTCGGCTCGACCGGGATCTCCACCGAAGGCCCTGGTGGTTGCACTCGCATGCGGTTCCCCCGCCCAGGACAGCGCTTCGTGGACCCGTGTGGAGCTCCATCGAAGATGAAATATTCACAATTGCGGAACCCATATTGCATATGGTGAGGGCCATCTCCAGGCAAATGTGCGAGGAATCGTTGCCGCGAAAGCACGGAACTGATGTACTTCCACGGAGGATCCTTGTTGCGTGAGTGAACATTTGTTGTTCTTCACTGGGGAAGCGGGGCCAGATGCATGCGGCGCTCTGCGGCGAGAGGGGCGGTGGCAGCCGCTGAGAAGACTTGCAGAAACCCTGCCAGACAGCCCTTGGCATTCTAGCGCGCCCCTAACGAGCACAAGGCCCTGTGGCATGTGCATCCTCCACCGTTTGCCCTCGTTTGGGAAATATGTTTTGGCTCCAGTTGCCAAGGTCATCGCCGTCTGCTTCTCCTGCCGCCCATCCTTCTGCTGCTTCCCTCATGCTCCCAAATCGCATTGCCATCAAACCCTTTCGAAAACTTCCATTGGACACCGCAAACGGTCTCAATTGTCCTCAACTGGACCGCCTTTCTCGTCTCAATTTCTTTTAATCCACGGTTTGAACGGCGAATTATATATATATATATATATCAATTTCTTTCAAAAGATCTTAATTTCTCTCAATCCGTCTCAATGTTTCTCAATTCGCCTCAAAACGAGAGTTCCATAGTATACGCCAGCGTGTTGGGGCCCCGCTCCCCTCTCAAAATACCTTTTCGGGAATGCCGCGCAGTCCCAAGCCAGTTACGATTTTCCTGCCTGTTATTCCAATGTATCGGAAATAGGGTTTCCATGGATCTCATCGTGCTCCTCATGCTCCGCCTCACTCCTCACTTTCCACCCCAGCTAGCTTCTCCTCATCCTGATCCTCCTCCTCCTCCTGCTCCCCCCTGCGGAACGCTCGTGTTACTCCGCCGAAGGCCCCAGCGGCTGCGCGCGCATGCAGTTCCCCCACCCAGGACAGCGCTTTGTGTCCTATCGGATGCCCCACCGAAGGCCCCAGTGGCTGCACTCGCATGCGGCCCCCCCAACCCGGACAGCGTTTCGCGGCCCCGTAGGGAGCTCCACCGGAGGCTCCAGTGGCTGTACTCGCATGCGGTTCCTCCGCCCATGACAGCGTTTCGTGGCCGGGAGCTCGACCGAAGACCTTGGTGGCTGCACTCGCATGCGGTTCCCCTGCCCAGAACCGCGTTTCTCGGCTCAATCGGGAGGTTCACCGAAGGCCCCAATGGCTGCACTCGCGTACGGTTCTCCCACCAAGGACAGCGTTTCGTGGACCCATCGGGAGCTCCATCGAAGACGATATTCAACATTGCATAACCCACACCTGCATATGGTTGGGTCCATCGCCAAGCTAATTTTCCAGGTTTCCGTTTCGAAGAAAACATGATGTGCGCCGCCTGCAGTCCCATCACGGCCATTGGGAGGAGAGGGCGCGAGAGGGAGGGTGGCACGAACAAGGATGGAGGAGGAGCAGGGGGGGAGGAGGAGCAGGAGGAGGAGGGGCAGTAGGATGAGTAAGAAACCCCATATGGGGCCACGAAACGTTATCCCCGGTGGGGGACCTGCATGCGAGTGCAGCCACTGGGGCCTTCGGTGGAGCTCCCGATGAGGCCACGGAACGCTGTCCTGAGAAGGGGAGCCGCATGCGAGTGCAGCCATCGGGGCCTTCGGTGGAGATCCCTATGGGGCCGCGTAGCGCTGCCCTGGGCGGGGGGACCCCATGCGAGTGCAGCCACTGGGGCCTTCGGTGGAGACCCCT